GGTAACAGCGTCATCAGTTAAAATGGACCAATAACATTGCAAAATACGTTTAATTTGTAGATGTTGATTAGAATATCATAATAATAAATGAGTAGGTTCGTTAGCTTCTGATATTTCCAGTCTCCTCGTTTGAACCAAAAGATTGTGAGGTGATTGCTGGCAGGTGCGATTATAGGCTTTACGCAACCATGTTTTGCTATATCCCCTGTCCAGCAGTTGCAGTCTCAATCCCTCTGCTACCTCCTGAAAGTCCTTTTCTGTGGAAACAGTTATGCCTAAGCCTCAAATACTGGCTATGTGGTATTGAATCTTTTAACTATTGTGGGTGAAAGCTTGATGTATGCAGGATGGTGTTAATTCCAATAAAGTCCACTTGAGAGGCAGCCATTGCCATCCTTCCATATGCGAACATCCAAAAAAGTTACCAATTCCTTACTGTGGGACATTGACTGTGAATTTCAAATTATGACCATTGATCTTCATTTTTTGAAAACATTCCTTGAAGCTGGCATAATTCCTAAGGAATTGTGATGCATTTGCGGCGGAGACCGCAGTGGATGCCGAGGGAGGTTTCCTCCTCACGGATTGCGGGGTGGCCACATTGTGGACGACATTTTGCATCCTATTGTGGCGTCAGCTGCAACATCTCTAATTGGCAGCACAGGTGGGATTGATTGTCCCTTAACCACTTGGCAACCATGCTATAGCCAAATGACAGCTACAGCACGGTTTGTCCAGTTCTGGGAGGGCATCATATGACGTCCTTTCAGAACGTGCCCTCCAGTGCAGCCCCAGCAGCGTACACCCCGGCGATCTCCATGATCGCTGTGTCCTACAGACACAGCTGATCAGGTGCTGTGGTAAAAGGTCAATCACAGCGGCCTTTTACCACATGATCAGCTGTGTCCAATGACACAGCAGATCACCACCAGGTAAATATAGTTGCCGGTTATGGGCTGCACTTTCCTCACGCTGTCATAGCATGAGGAAAGTACTGCCGATAACTACAACCTCACAAACACCCCCTGTCCTCTCTCTGATCACAATTTCATCACCTTCACAGTGTCCTCGTCTTCACACGCTTATCGCTCCAAGCAGCAAACAATTACCCACAGAAACCTTCACAACTTAAACCCTTATCTTTTCCACTCTGCAACTGACCGCCTCCATGGCAGAATCTCTCCTCTATCCTGCCCTGACTTGGCCACTGCTGTCTACAACAGTTTGCTTTCATCCACACTAGACTCGCTTGCTGCCCTAGCTACATGATGTATCAGGCCTCGACCATTACAACCGTGGCAGACTGACAACACCAGAAATCTTAAGAGACATAGTCGTGCATTGGAGCGATTCTGGCGTAAAACCAATTCTCAGCAAGCTTTCACCCTATATAAATCTGCTTTCTTAACATACAATTCCTCCCTCCATGCTGCCAAACAAGCCTACTTTGTCACTGTTATTAATACCTTGTCATCCAGTCCTCGTCTTCTCTTTTCTACTTTTAACTCTCTACTTTCTCCACCTCCACCCAGTACCTCACTCACTGCTTACGAGATTGCAAATCATTTCAAAAACAAGATTGATGCAATTCGTAGGGGCATCTCTGCTACACAGACATCTATCCCACATAGCATACCTTGTACTAAATCTCCAACACTTTCCTCTTTTGACCTTGCTACTACTGAAGAGGTCACTAAAGTTTTCTCAGAAGCCCGTCTCACCACCTGCCCCCTGGATCCTGTCTCCTCACAACTACTACGGTAACCCTCTTCAATCCTATGCTCCCTCACTCACATCGTCAATCTCTCCCTCTCTAATGGTGCCTTCCCCACCCCTGTAACGCATGCACACATCACTCCCATACTGAAAAAGCCCTCGCTGGACCCCACCAACATGAACAACTTAAGACCCATCTCCCTGATCCTGTTTACCTCTAAACTCTTAGAACGTTTAGTTTACAATCGCCTGAGCTCCTAGCTCACTGACAACAACCTTCTTGACACATTACAGTCTGCCAAATCTATCTTTTTACTCCTCACCTCACCCCTTCAGTCTCCTCTCGCATTACTAACCTACTAAGTGACATATCGGCATGGATGTCACTCCACTTCCTTAAACTCAATCTTTCGAAAACTGAGCTCATACTATTCCCTCCAGCCCATTCCCCTTCCCATGACTTTTCCATCAAGATCAATAACACAACCATCAGTCCCTCCCCTCATGCCAGGGTACTAGGTGTAATCCTAGACTCCCACCTGTCCCATCCCCAAATCCAATCACTGTCCAAATCTTGTAGACTTCACCTGTGTAAAATTTCCAAGATACGCTCGTTCCTAACCTCGGAAACCACTAAGCAACTTATTCACTCCCTGGTCATCTCTCGCCTTGACTATTGTAACTCCCTCCTCAATGGGCTACCACATCTCCTATCTCCTTTTCAGTCTATCATGAATGCTGCTGCCAGACTCATCCACCTTACTAATCATTCCATATCTGCCATCCCTCTCTGCCAATCCCTCCACTGGCTTCCCATTTCCCAATAAATAAAATTCAAAACATTAAGAATAACATATAAAACCATTTATAACTCTGCCCCAAATTACATCACCACTCTTGTCTCCAAATGTCACCCAAACCGTCCTCTCTGTTCCTCCTATGACCTCCTGCTCTCTAGCTCCCTTGTCTCCTCCTCCCATGCTCATCTCCAGGACTTCTCCAGAGACTCTCCCATCCTGTCAGGGCTCCGGGTATGACCAGAGGTATGTGAACTGACGCAGGGAAACGCAGGCTTCAGGTGTGGTATAAATAAGACAATTTATTAAAGACTAACAATACAAACATAAATGCAGTGCACCAAACCCCAAGCTAACACAAATACATACAACAAGGTGAAACAAACCCAAAACTAAACTGATAAAGATACACAGGTACATACACATATAGAGCACAACGTAATCAGGCAGGCCGGGTCGATGACTAACGGGCAGGTAGGTACAGGAGGAACAGGCGGAGAGAGTGGTCAGGGTCACAAGCCAGGGATCAAAACAGGAGAAGTCAGCAGAGGTCAAGATCAGACCGGGTCGGCAACAAGTTAGGCAGAGGCAGAAACAGGAACAGGAACGCAGGTTACAAGATACAGGGGCCCATGGAAAAACACACACCAAGGCCCAGACTGCAGGTCTGGCCATCCCTTAAATACACCTGCATAATCAGCTTCAGGTGTTTGGCTGACTGCAGGGTTGAGTCTCTGATTGCTGAGAGCACCCGCTAGCCAGCCCTGGTACTGCAGCCCACAAGGCAGGTGAGTCCCACCATTACTGGCAAGTCCATTCCTGACAGTACCCCCCCTCAAGGAGCGGCCTCAGGACGCTCCAAACAGTCCTAGCTGGGCAAAATGTTCCACCGCCCCGGGTCTGGTAACTGGCGGGATATCAAAGACTGGCACATCGGGCTGGACTCCGGGCAGCGGCACATCGGGCTGGACTCCGGGCAGCGGCACATCGGGCAGGACTCCGGGCAGCGGCACATCGGGCAGGACTCCGGGCAGCGGCACATCGGGCTGGACTCCGGGCAGAGGCACATCGGGCTGGACTCCGGGCAGAGGCACATCGGGCTGGACTCCGGGCAGAGGCACATCGGGCTGGACTCCGGGCAGTGGCACATCGGGCTGGACTCCGGGCAGAGGCACATCGGGCTGGACTCGGGCTGGACTCCGGGCAGAGGCACATCGGGCTGGACTCCGGGCAGAGGCACATCGGGCTGGACTCCGAGCCACCGGGGCGGAGCGGCGGGCACCGGCACGGAGCGACAGGCATCGGGCCACCGGGCAGGCATCACCAGGCGGAGCGGCGGGCATCGGGCCCCCCGGAGCGGCGGGCATCGGGCCCCCGGGCGGGCGACGGGCATCGGGCCCCGGGCGGGACGGGCATCGGGGCCCCGGGCGGAGAGGAAGGGCACGGGCCCCCGGGCGGAGAGACAGGCATCGGGCCCCCGGGCGGAGAGACAGGCACCGGGCCCCCGGCGGAGCGGCAGGCATCGGGCCCCCGGGCGGAGCGGCGGGCATCGGGCCCCCGGGCGGAGCGGCGGGCATCGGGCCCCCGGGCGGAGCGGCGGGCATCGGGCCCCCGGGCGGAGCGACGGGCATCGGGCCCCGGGCGGAGCGACGGGCATCGGGCCCCCGGGCGGAGAGAAGGGCATCGGGCCCCCGGGTGGAAGAAAGGCATCGGGCCCCCGGGCGGAGCGAAAGGGCATCGGGCCCCCGGGCGGAGCGAAGGCATCGGACCCCCGGGCGGAGCGACAGGCATCGGACCCCCAGGCGGAGCGACAGGCATCGGGCCCCCAGGCGGAGCGGCGGGCATCGGGTCACCAGGCATCAGGTCATTTGGCTCGCCAGCGGGCATCGCGTCATCTGGCAAGGCAGTGGGCACCGAGTCACCAGGCACGACAGTGGGGTTCCGAGTCAACTGGCATGACCACGGGCACTGGGTCAGACATTGGATCGTCTGGCTCGACAGCGGGCATCGGGTCACCAGGCATCAGGTCATTTGGCTCGACAGCGGGCACCGCATCATCTGGCAAGGCAGTGGGCACCGAGTCACCAGGCACGACAGTGGGCTCTAAGTCAATTGGCACGACAGCGCGGGCACCGGGTCATCAGGTACCGGATCGTCTGGATCGACAGCGGGCACTGGGTCATCTGGCGTTGGATCGTCTGGCTCGACAGCGGGCATCGGGTCACCAGGCATGACAGCGGGCACTGGGTCACCAGGCATCAGGTAATTTGGCTCGCCAGCGGGCACCGCGTCATCTGGCAAGGCAGTGGGCACCGAGTCACCAGGCACGACAGTGGGCTCCGAGTCAACTGGCATGACCGTGGGCACTGGGTCAGACATTGGATCGTCTGGCCCGACAGCGGGCATCGGGTCACCAGGCATCAGGTCATTTGGCTCGACAGCGGGCACCGTGTCAGGCATGACAGCGGGCACTGGGTCATCAGGCATTAGATCGCCTGGCTTGACAGCGGGCATCAGGTCACCAGGCATGACAGCGGGCACCGGGTCATCAGGTACCGGATCGTCTGGATCGACAGCGGGCACCGGGTCATCTGGCGTTGGATCGTCTGGCTCGACAGCGGGCATCGGGTCACCAGGCATGACAGCGGGCACTGGGTCATCAGGTACTGGATCGTCTGGATCGACAGCGGGCATCGAGTCAACTGGCATAACAGGATCATCAGGCTGAATCAGTCCATCAGGCTGGGTAGAGACATCAGGCTGGGTAGAAAACATCAGGCTGAATGGAGGCATCAGGCTGAATGGAGGCATCAGGCTGGGTAGAGGCATCAGGCTGGGTAGAGGCATCAGGCTGAATTGTTGGCACCGAGGCACCAGGCTGCACCACGGAAGGCAGGTTCTCAGATGGGAGGCTGACCGGTTTGGATACTGGCAGGATGGTATTGGTTGGAAAGAACTTTCGCCTTTTCCTGGTTTTAGTTACCGGAGCACTGTAAGTAAGCGCAGGTTTGTAAACGGATGGAGCAGCTGGAGACAGAGAAGAGCTGGAGGATGGAACAGGGGAGGGAACAGTTGCTACAGAGGGCTTTTTTACAGGGTTAAAGGCAGGATAGGTGCAGCGAGTGGGAACAGGGTACTGACATGCGGTAGATAGCAGGGTATACTGGGCTGTAACTGGAGGTGCTGTTGGGAATGCAGGAATAGAGCTTTGAAGAAATAGATTAGAAGCAGGACTGGGTTTTTGCAAGCTGACTGAGGCTGGGTGTAACAAATCTGACCATGTCTGCAGTATGGGTTGAACAAAGCTGAGCTTACACAAAGCCTGTTTGGTCAAAGACTGCACTGCGTTTATACAATCCCTTAATACCTGTGGTGAAAATGCAGCATAATGCTCCAAGAAGCAATCCACATCATCCTCTAATAACCATACTAGGGACTCTACCTGGTGTGCACTAAATGGTGGCAAAAAGTCATTCCTGCTTTCAGGGGTACCAGATGAAGCCAACTCTACACAAACCTGAATCAAAGGTTGCACCTCAGAGAACTCTGTGCCCTGATCTACTAGAACATGAGCGACCCGTATACATTCTAGCAGTTGATCCCGGGTATACTCCCTCAGAGTCTGATAAGCATATTCTCTGTCATCAAAAACCAGCAACGACAAATACACAACCTCATCAAGATCCATCCTTCCCAGCAACAAGCCAAGATGGCTTCCCTGTGCAGCCACTTCTGGTCAGATTGGCCTTGGTGTAATGTCAGGGCTCCAGATATGACCAGAGGTATGTGAACTGACGCAGGGAAACGCAGGCTTCAGGTATGGTATAAATAAGACAATTTATTAAAGACTAACAATACAAACATAAACGCAGTGCACCAAACCCCAAGCTAACACAAATACATACAACAAGGTGAAACAAACCCAAACTGATAAAGATACACAGGTACATACACGTATAGAGCACAACGTAATCAGGCAGGCCGGGTCGATGACTAACGGGCAGGTAGGTACAGGAGGAGCAGGCGGAGAGAGTGGTCAGGGTCACAAGCCAGGGATCAAAACAGGAGAGGTCAGCAGAGGTCAGGATCAGACCGGGTCAGCAACAAGTCAGGCAGAGGCAGAGGCAGAGGCAGGAACAGGAACGCAGGTTACAAGATACAGGGGCCCATGGAAAAACACACACCAAGGCCCAGACTGCAGGTCTGGCCATCCCTTAAATACACCTGCATAATCAGCTTCAGGTGTTTGGCTGGCTGCAGGGTTGAGTCTCTGATTGCTGAGAGCACCCGCTGGCCAGCCCTGGTACTGCAGCCCACAAGGCAGGTGAGTCCCACCATTACTGGCAAGTCCATTCCTGACACATCCTCTGGAACTCTCTACTCCAGTCTATCAGACTATCGCCTACTCTGCCCACTTTTTGGCGATCTCTGAAAATCTCTCTCTTCAGGGAAGCCCATCCTGCCTTCAGCTAATAGCGGAATCTTCTATTCCTCCTACCAGTCCATCCTCCACAGTTATTACCTTTTTGTACCACCAGCCCCTCCCTCTTAGATTGTAAGCTCCAAGCAGCAGGGCCTTCCTAACCCTCTTGTACTGGACTGTATTGTTGCTGTATTGTCTCCTTTTATATTGTAAAGTGCTGAGCAAAACTGTTGGCGCTATATAAATCCTGTACTATAATAATAATAATAATAATATTATCAGTGCAGCATCATCAGTGCTGCCTATTAGCGCCCATCAGTGCTGCCTATCCATGCCATCTCATCAGTGCCCATCAGTGCTGCCTATCCATGTCCATCAGTGCTGCCTATCAGTGCAGCCTAATCAACGCACATCAGTGAAGGAGAAAAATTACCTGTTTGCAAAATTTAATAGAAACAAAGAAAAACTTTTACATTTTTTTGCTATTTTTTTGTTTATAGTGCAAAAAATAAAACACCCAGTGGCAATTAAATACCACCAAAAGAAAGCTCTATTTGTGTGAAAAAAATTATAAAAATTTCATATGGGTAAAATATTGCATGACTGCGTAATTGTCATTCAAAGTGTGACCGCGCTGAAAGCTGAAAATTGGCCTGGGACGGAAGGGGGCATAAGTGCCCAGTAGACAAGTGACTAATGAGATGGATATATTGGAGACTTGATTGCATTCATTTGTTGGCTTGTGCTCATGGATGTGGGAATTCCTGGAATTATAAGAAAAGCTTGGTAAGCATAGATAGCCCCTATGTTGTTGCATATTATGGCTGTTTAATGTTTAAAACAGGGGAGGCTTAGTGACATGTCTTCCTTTTTTGCATATACCATGTTAGGTGAATGTGTGAAAGGAGCAGTGTACTGTTTAGTGCTTATACTGTATTTAGACATCCGGCCATAATTAAACATAATGCTTTGTATGGGCTTGTATTATAGAAGAAATGATTGGGGGTATCTTTAACTGATTGGAGATTATACCATCTCTACCCTCACCTATATAGAAGGGGAATATCTGGGTTTCCTTGTCCCACTCTATTCATGGTCAATATATTGCCTGTAGATAGATTTAAATTTGTCTGTCACCTCAAATGTACCCCCTCCTTTCGAATATTTTATTTTTTTTTTCATGCAGTAATTCCATAGAATGATATATATGAGGGCGGGTTATTTTCTCCCTTTGCTTCCAACAATTTGAGATATCCATGTGACCAACCATGCACCATCAGACTGCTCACACTGCTGTCAGCATATGCAATTCTGTGTTAAATGCCATTGTTTTTAGGACTGCTCTGGTATATAGTAGATGTCCAATTGATGCTTTGTAAGTATGAAAATTTATATAATGTATTTGCTATTGATGGTATTATGATGATTTATTATTAATTTTCAATGTGTTTATTTAGAGGTCCTCTTCATTTCATGCGCCCCTGAGGAAGATCTTAAATTGGAATGATTGAAATGCGTCGGGACTTTTTGGGGAATGTAGTGTTGCTTTAACCCTTTAAGGGACCATATCATTAGAACACTATATCACAGTTATCAATATGATTTTAGTATGTAATTAATTTTTTTATGTATTTTTGTACAATAAAACATACATGAATTTTTATATTATTATTTGCGTGATGTTTTGTCAGCTGTATTAAAGTTTCATGGGGATAATTTCTCTTGAATATAACATTGGGGATGAGCAGCTAGATACTACACCCTCTTTCACTGGTTTGTTACCTTTTTTTTGCTTAACTTTGTAGATATGCTCTTGCTCTATCTGTTCAACTCCCCTGTACACTTCCTTTTCCCAGTATGTTCAGATTTTACCTAGCCCTCCTCTTTCTGACAAATTTCTTACAAGAACATGGTCTCCAACCTGTAGTTCCACTCCTTTTGCACATAGTACCTTTTACCTTTCTGAGAGGACTTTTGGCTATTCTCAGAAGCAATTCTGTAAGTTTCTCTCATTTTGATAGCCCATTTTTCAGCCTACTGCTGCATACAGCATACATCCTTCTCATCATCCGTATCCAATAACAGATCCACTGATAAATGGGGTGTTCCTCCATACAACAGAAAGAAAGGGGCATGGCTGGTTGCTTCTTGCCTAGTACAATTATATGCATAGACTATTTGTGGCAAATTCTCTTTCCACTGAGCTTTCTTTTCCTCTTACAATGTATGAAGTATTTGAGATAATGTTCTATTCAATCTTTCAGTGGGGTTGCTTTGAAGATGATATGGTGTTGTTCTAGAATGTGTTATTCCAGACAATTTTCTCAGTTTTTAGAAAACTTGATTTGCCTTGATCATGGTGTAATCTTTCAGAATATCCAAATCTGGGAATGAAGTTATAAAAAATCTTCTCTGCTGCAGTTTTCCCTGATTTATTGTGTGTAGGGTAGGCCTGTGCAAAGTGAGTGAAGTGATCAATGCTAATCAATATGTATTCATAACCACCTCTGCTCTTCTCTAGGTGAAAGAAAATTCACTGAGACAAGTTCAAAAGGAACACTATATTTAATGCACCCCAAAGGTGCCTGCTCTGGCACTGTTGGGTGTTTCTCTTTTAGGCCACTATATCTTTTTGTGACATAATCGGTTATCTGCTTTTGCATAACTGGCTAGTAAAATTTCTCTCTTGCAAGCTGAATTACTTTGTCTGCTCCACAATGACCCATGTCATTATCTAGGTGTTTCAGCACTATCTGAATTAACTGTTTTGTTGTGTCATAACAAAATGCCATCTAGTACAGTCAGATTATTACAGTTGTGCATAAGTTGTTTTCCTTTTCTATTTAGGCACCTCCTATTGATTTTGGTGGATTCAGTATTTTTATTCTTAAGGTCAATGATAACATGTATGGGCTTGTCCTGCAGGTGGGCAGCACAAAGTTTATCCTTTGTGATGATTTCCATAATTTTACCATTTCGAAAACTATTTGCATCAATAACTTCTGGTTGTAGAACTACTGACAGCGCCCAGTGACTTTACTCATCTAACACTGCCCTGCTACCTTACGTACAGAAGAAATAGTTTGTGGTGTGATCAGAACTCTTCTTCATCCTGAGGACTGATTAGTAGATTTCTAGACAAGGTATCAGCATCTGCATTTTTTTTTACCTGAGTGATATTTGATGTCAAAGCAAAAATCAGCTAATTTCCATATCCAGCAATGTCCAACACTGTTTAGTCTTGCTAAACTGAGGACATATAGTAATGGGTTGTTGTCTGTATAGACCATATACAAGGGGGTACAGTACAGGTAGTTCCTAAACTTATCACAAATGGCCTTTAGTGCTAGAAACTCCAGTTTTCCTGAATGCAGATGTTCTTCACACTTGGTGTCAGTGTTTGTGAACCATAGCCTATATTTAATTTGCCCTCTTGACATTGATAAAGCATTGTGCCTAACCCACCTTGTGAAAATGTATCACTTCACCCACTTTCTATGGTGTTATTTTT